CGGCGCACAGAGCCGCGTCCATCATCACAGGAAGCTGCACCAGACGCTGGGGCTCCCGGTGTCCCCCCCGGCCCCCCGGGAAGCATGACCCCCTCTCTGAACAGTTCCCCGCCCCAGGCCCGGGGTGGGTGTGAGGACCCGAGCTCCAACCATCCAAGACGAGGGAGTCCCCGTCCGTGTCCAACCGCAGGGCCACCTGCTCTATGTCCTCGGAGGAAAGACCCCCACCCGCCCAGGACGTAGCTGCCCGGCTTCCCAGTCTCCAAGGTGACCTGCCGGCAGCAGGCGGGGAGCGTCTGTCGCCCGGGAGACCCCGGCCCCCTCCCTAACGGCTGCGGGAACAGATGGCGCAGCCCGGAGCCTCGCTTCAACGCCTCTCCGCACGTCAGCACCATCAGGAACCCCTCGTGCTCAGCCCTAGCCCGTTTGGCTCAGTGGATAGAGCACCTGCCTGCAGACTGAAGGGTCCCGGATTCGATTCCGGGCAAGGTCATGTCAACCACGCCCCCACTCCTGCCCTGCACTTCAGGCCTGCCCCCTACACTCCATCCTGTGTGATCCTGGCCGCTCCTGCCCCAGGGCCTTTGCACGTGCTGTGCCCTCTGCCTGACACTCCAACCTCCAGATCGTCACCGTCATTCCCACCTCAGCACTGAGGTCACCTCTCCTCACCCCTCTGCACAGCATGTCTGTGTCTCCTACCCTCAGCACCGCGCCAGGCCACAGCAGGCGCTCGGTGACTATTTCACTCAATGAGTGAGACAGGACGTCGTTTCACAACCGCCGTCCACCCTGCCCAGGCCCCTCTGGACACCATCTTGAGAAAACAAAGGGTGGGAAGCCCACTGCTTTGTACTCCACGGGGCCCTGGGGTCCCAAATGCGGCCCACCCAGCGTCCCAGTCGCCCAGTCTCTGGGCCAGAAGTGTCTCCTCTCTCTGAGGGCCCAGCTGAGGTCTGGGACCAGGGCAGGTGAGTCCAGAAACTGGCTCAGAGGGGCCCACGCCCTGTAGGGGTCCAATCAGGGCTTCGGGGAGATGGTCTGAGAGAGGGGAGCCCTGGAAGCCTCGAACCTGCTGCGGGAATTCAGGTCCCACCGGGAAACCAGTTTGTCAATGAATTAACATACAGCGTTGGGCAGAAACAACTGCATAGAAATGAAGGTGAAACCTGATCGAGCCACTCCTGCGCTCCACCCAGGCGACTTTCTCGGCCTCACCAATCCCTTCCCTCTGCCTCATCTGAACCAGCTCTTCCTCCCTGCGGCGCTGAAAGAACACACCCCCCCCCCCCCCCATCACTGGGCCCTAAACTTCCCTGAAAACCACAACTGCATGTCCCCGCCCACGTGCCCTCCAGGCAGGACTCGGAGCTGCCTCCCGGGCCAACCTCGTTTCTAAGGGCGCTTCCTGCAATCGCCATCCTCCACCTCTGACCACAAACCCCTCTCTCCCGGCCTGGAAGGCCCCCATGGCTCCTCTGATGACAAGGAACCGGATTTCCCATGGGGGGCGGGGGGGGAGAACAGAATTCCGGCCCGACCCAGACCCGGGGCAGCCACGCCCCCAGCCCCGTGGCAGCTATTTCCACGGCTGTCGCTGTCCTCGGCTTTGCTCTGCAGCCTGGACACGTGGTAACG